CGCGTGGCCCCTTTTTTAGAGAAAAAAACACTTTTTGCTTCATATACTCCGGATTTTCATTGTATTGTGAGGAGATCTAGTCCATTACTCAAGCTGGTCCGGGATACAAACACAAACACAGTAGATTATGCTCCGCGGCAGCCGCTCCAATAGTTCCATTGGAGTGGAAGTAGTTACATAGGGAGATAGATTGTTTTTATTGGTTTACCCGTTAAAGCAACAGTCCCAGCAGGGTGGGCGTGGTCGGAAACGGCTGCAATCCCCTCGGCCGATTCCCACTTCGGAGCTGTTCAGCCCCTAGTCAAGAACGTAAGAAGTGTGACTGAACAAAAACTCACCTTGGAAAGCCGCTAGGGAGGGAGCTGAAGTGGGCGTGGTCGGAATCGGCCGAGGGGATTGCAGTCGTTTCCGACCACGCCCACCCTGCTGGGACTGTTGCTTTAAGGGTTATTGAAGCGGTATGATGAGAAGTGATTTCAGATTCACACTGATTATTTATTTTATCATTTGTTTTGTTTAATAATTTTTTTCAGATCCCGATATATCACTCAAGAATAACAAGTTTTCTACAACGAACACGCTCTTCATACTGCCTCAATACTCTCATGGCCTTGCGTGTGTTATCTTCCGCAGTTGAGACGAACTGCATTCGTCCGCAGCTGTGGAATCAAAAAAGAAGAAATTACTCGTTTCTTTCGTGAACATCAAAAGTCAGCTTCTTCCTCCTCGCATTAACTTTGAGATTTTTACTTCTTAACCACTAATTGTAAATTTCACATTGTTCTGTTTCGCTGTATGTAAAGCCTCTGCACTGTGGAAGCTCATTTTCTTTAATTATAGGGTTTTATGACGATACAGTCATTTTATGTTATTGTTGTATGTTTTTATCCTCATCATAAATAACGAACGCTGTGCCAATTCATTTCGTAGACAAACTGAAGACAATTGAAGGAATCTTCACGGAAAAATCATGATTCTATTTCAGCCATAAATCACTGGCTTGAGACCCATTATCCACGATAAGAATGAAAAGAACAGAAAAATTGCATTTGTTTTGGTAAAAATTCGAAAAACCGAAAGGCTGCTACGCGTTCAAAGTACCGCCGGACATCTGTCACAAATGCTGGCGACGGGATGCTTCCACTTGGTTCTTGGAGTGCCTCACTAGAAACTCTTTCTGGCCTTTGACTTATTGCATTCACATCTCACACTTCTACTGCATCCTATTCTATCGATCGATTTGTCTCTACTCTCCAAATCGCACGCTTTAACCCGATTCTTTCATTGCGTCGCCTGATACGTAGCCGCCCCAAGCGGACTTCTTCCATGCCCCGCCTTTGGCTCCGCCCGAATTACCTTCGATTGTCCATAGAGTGGATTTTCGTGAGTTTGTTTCTCTTCGGAAACCGAATCTTCATGCGTAAAACTTTGTGTATTGCATCTAGTGATCACAACTGATACATTCATGTTGAAAAAAAAATGCAAGAATTCCCCGCGAAAAATTCCCCTAAGGCATTGAAATATGTGTGCTTCGGATTTCTCTCGCGGCTATTCGGCTAGACGAAGTGGATCAACCAACACGCTCATCGAATCTGTAACAAAGGCTCGAGGCTGGTTCTTCACATTGATATAATAAGTGTATCATACCTGATACCATAACCTCTTTCTTAAGTCAATCAGCTCAAGACAGGTGTCAGATTACATAGGTTAAGAAGGTTATTACGCGCAGAGGCGGGTGTTTTTCGCATTTTGTACGTTCGTGACCAAAAACGGAAAGCCGTCAATGAAAACGTAAACACGGGCCTCTGTATCTGCGCGTTATTTTCCACCATGAACGATCAGGGTAACAGCTCCCACGAGAGGCGTCCGTTTAATACTGCTGTGTAAGGCATCAGCGCAAGGCATTTGGTAACACCATGCCAAACCAAGCTGCAATCGATCCGCTCCAGTTGTACGGCTGCTAGCAATACGCGGTTCAGTTCGTCCAATCACCAACTAGTGGGCGGATCGCTTTTGGGGGCGGAGTGCTTTCGAAGTCCTGCTCAGCAACCAGCGCACCTTCGAAAGCGCTACACCTCGCTTCCCTGGCAGCCAAGTAACTGATTCGTGTGGTGCATATGCTTCCCCGATGCGCTCCCTCTTTATCGTAATCGCTGCCTTTAAGATTGAGTCATAAGTAGCACTGATTCTACTGAAGGAAATTGCGGTCAAATTGGTGGATCCGTAGATGATTCTCGATGAGCTCGGACCGACTACAAACAAAGATGTGGTGCGATCGGGAGCATTTTGGGAACCTTCTTTATTCCTAATTCACTCAGGATAACGTCACACAACCAGTTTGGCATTTATTCTTTCGCGGATTTTGCATCACACCGTATCGGAAAACCAGGCATCCTCAGTAATAAGGCGTTAGGTACGTGTCAGACTTTGCGACGAATCGCTAGCAAAGCGTGCGATTCTTAACGTCATGACATGTTCCCAAGAAGCCGGACTCGCAGTTTTTGGGAAGTCGGACACTAACTGGCTCCTTCGGAAGCACACCTCTCCTTAAGAAAGTCGGCACTGAGAATCGCTTGCGATTCGTCGCAAAGTCTGAAATCTGCCTTCTACATCATCATCTTGAAACCTCTAACCTATGCATAACACATTTGCGCAGCACAGTTTGCGGAGTTTCGAGCATGACACTCAGCGAACCCCGTGTTACACAATGGTCACATTCTGGTGGAACTCTGGATGTGCATCCCGACGATGACGAGATGGTTGATAGAGGAATAAGGCTCCAGATAAACAAGCGGCACATATTAATCCAATCAACTACGTCACTTCCGTGCTTATTGATGAAAGCTTGCCAATTATACATGCTCACATACAAAAAGGCTTGAATCACCTATGATCTCCCTCGAAGTTGAAAGTTCACAGTTCTCAGCCTAGAATTGTGGCTCGGCGAACAAAGGAAATCGTCCGTCCATTTGAAGTGTCGCCTGCATTTGACCACCCCCACCCTCAAGTCGCAATTAGACTATAATTAGAGTTGCTACACATCTTCTCAACACACGACTTTATTCAGCCGCCAAGCTGTCGCGCGTTATCTGTACAAATTAACTACATAAGAGAATATAGATACGCCGACCACAAAAGAAACTTAAATAGTCGATAGAACAATGACGCAATATCACGGATGACTTACCAGAAGAATAGAAACAGCAAGAATCGGTTCAAATAGACTAAAAAGTTTAGAACAGTAGAAGAATACGTATTGTGTCTGACGAGAATTTGAAAGCGAATGGAGGGAGTGAAAATGTATTTCGACGGTGTGATTATGCGGTCAGCTTCTCGCCCTTCTCTGAGTCATCTGCCGCCCTGCCGTTCATTACTCGACTGATGGCAGCTGTGCCGGCTGGCCATCGTGATGCTGAAAATTAATATACATCAAAGTCAGTCAGTGCGACTTTCCAAATTGCAAAAATGAGATACGTTCAGCGTTGATTAATCATTACGTATTACGCTGTGTATTGGGAGTCCCGTTCAAAGACGCAACCGCAACAAACCAAAACATTGCCCTTTTCACAGACTTCGAAGGGTTCACCCAGACGACTAGATTTTCCTAATGCCGAAGATGGATGCGCACGGAGCATCTCCGTGAGTGATCAAAGATCAGGGCATTAT